AAATATACACTGCCACACGTGTGTGTGTGTGTGTGTGTGTGTGTGTGTGTGTGTGAGAGAGAGAGAGAGAGAGAGAGAGAGAGAGAGAGAGAACAGGTAAGTCTCCAACCTCAGGGCTGGCCTCATGGTACTTCCATCGATAGGATGAGCAAAATCAAATGAATCTACGGCTAGAACATGGAAATATACACTGCCACACTTGTTTGTTTGTGTGTGTGTGTGTGTGTGTGTGTGTGTGTGTATGTGTATGTGTGCGCGGTGTGTGTGTGTGTGTGTGTGTGTGTGAGAGAGAGAGAGAGAGAGAGAGAGAGTTTTCCATCGATAGGATGAGCAACGCACTGGCCAAGAGGTAAGTCTCCAACCCTGCAGCTGGCCTCATGCTGCTTCCATCGATAGGATTAGCAAAATAGAATGAATCTTCCGCTAGAAAATGGAAATATACACTACTGCATGTGTGTGTGTGTGTGTGTGTGTGTGTGTGTGAGAGAGAGAGAGAGAGAGGGAGAGAGTTTTCCAGCCATGCACACAGAGAGATAGAGAGAGGCTACTTCCAGGATGAGCAAAATCGGAATGAATCTTCCACTAGAATATGGAAATATATACACTGCTTTCCAGCCATGCGCGCAGAGAGATAGAGAGGCTACTTCCATCGATAGGATGAGCAAAATTGGAATGAATCGTCCGCTAGCTAGAACATGGATACATACACTGCCACTTTTTTTCTTTTTTTCTTTTTTTCTTTTTTTTTTGTGTGTGAGAGAGAGTGAGAGAGAGAGAGGCACAGAGAGAGGGAGAGAGAACACGTAAGTCTCCAGTGTCGCTCGCGGCTGGCCTCACACTACTTCCATCGATAGGATGAGCAAAATTGAATGAATCTTCTGCTAGAACATGGAAATATACACTGTCACACTTGTACATTCAGTCCATAAACCCACGGCCAAAAACATCCATCAATAGGAGAGCAAAATCAAATGAATCTACCTCTAGAACATGGAAATATACACTGCCTCACTTCTCGAGTGCTGGAGCCAAGGCCCAACGAACACGCCCGACCGGGCTGCTATGCACTTGTATTTGAACACGAGTGCTGGCAGCAGTGCATGAATGTGAAAAAAAAAGGCCATGCCGCCACTGCCGGTTTCTACTGGGCCGCACCCCCGTGTCCCAAACTCTTTCTTAACACTGTAAGTCTGGGCTCGCGGGGGCGTTACGCGAGACCCGCCTTACTCTTTAGTAAAGAGTATTGAAAAATTCAGAGAAATGATTCCATCGCTGTGCACTCTTGCCATCACTCTGGTCCCTGACCGGGTTCTGTTGTGTGGTTGTGTGGTTGTGTGCTTCTTTCCATGCTTGTCCGTTGTTCTTCTCAGGGGGGACATATAGGTAATCTGGTGGAAAGGGAGGTCAAAGCGTTGCTGCAAAGAGCTTTGCAAGTGGCCAGACTGGTAGTTGGAGCCAATCCGAAGGTCCTAGAAGGCCTTGGAGCATTACTTGAATGTATGTGATTCAATCTCTCTTATGTGTGCCGGATGCCCATCCTTTTCTTCTGAACTCTAGTGGCCAAAAATATTGTTGATCACTGTCAAAGAACACAAACCATAGCTGCGGCGCATCGCAATGCGCACAGTGCAAGTGCATGCATGCGCGCGCATCATTTGCACCGCACCCCTGAAAATGGGGGTTTGTGAAGAAAATTGGGAGGGGTGGGGGTGCCACATCCTGTCCCTACCCTCGGAAAAATAGCAGCAGCAATGAACGAAAAAAAATTGGGGCCGCGCATGACAGTGCCCGCTCCCCCCAAAGAAAAAACAGAACCTGTGTGTGTGTGTGTTGTCCCGCTAGAGTCCAACAGTCCAAATATTTCTATTGTCTTTCAGGTCCAATAAGCTCATGACGAGGGTGCCTTGTGCTTGCAGAAATGGATACATGTCCCACCCTCGTCATGGCTGAATCAGACCTGAAATAGGATGGCGTGTCAGAGCAAGAGAAAGATGTGGAATGGCTACTCCATGACGAAGTGCCCATTGCCGCCTCTATCTTTGTCTCTAATGCACGTACGCCATTATTGAGGTCTGATACAGTCCTGATCAGGGTTGGATACCTGCGGACCGTTGACCCCGACCGTTGACCATATAGCAGCCGACCAGTAGGGTCGACCAGTCGGTGGTCTGCTGACCAGTCAGAAAACAGCCATCCACTGATTTTTTTTCAAATCTGAGTTGGGGGCTGTACTGCGCTTGCTGAGTACAGCGCAAATCCACTGAGAAACTTTTGGGTATTTGGGGGGGTTATGGGGGAATTAGGCGGGGGGTATGGGGGATTATAGGGGGGGTATGGGGATGTTGGGGGGACGGTTCGGGGTGTTTGGGGGGTGTATGGGGGTGTAGAGGGTGCTATGGGGGTTTTGGTGGGGTTATTGGGGGTTATGGACTGCCAGCGATTTTTTTTATTTTTTTTTTTTTTTCTTCTTTGCGGGGTGCGGATATTCCCAACCGGTAGGTGCCGACCAGTCAAGGGGCGCTGACCGTCGGGGTATGCAACGCTGGTCCTGATAATGAATCATGACAAGTAGCTTCCGGATACTCTACTGCCGAACATTCTAAATGTCTCTGCAAGTACAAACTGTCCCTATTCATTGAAAATCTTGTGATCCTGGTCGATATTGCAGTCTACATACATGGAGACGTTGAGTGGAGGATAGACATCGTTCTTTTTTTTTGTTTTGTTTTTCTCGTCTTCATACACAAGTGCGAGGATTTAGTACCTCGGCAGTGTTGGAAAGGGGCGTGCCCCCCTTAAGTGAAGGCGGGCATGCAAATATGTGCCAACACCTGTTTATAGGCCTATGAGGCCAGGCTGAGGGGCCCAAGCAGAGCCTGTTGGAAGCACTATGTGTGCATGGATCTTTGACGAGGCTTTGTTACGAGTTAGCTCCTCGGCATATGCCCCTGCGGGGCCGTTTCAGCAAGCATGAGCCCACCCTAAGTGAAGGCGGGCCCCTGAATTAATGACCTGAGTTCATCAATTTTGGCAAAGTTTGGTGGGCGCCACACAGTTGCCACGCGCCAGTTGGTTACATCCTCCATACTAGTGAGGATCAAAAATAATTTGTGAGCCCTCTAGGCTCTTCCAGCAGCACAGGCGAAGCAGGGAGAACCTCACGTTTACTCCTGGGTGGTTGGGCTGGCCTAACCAATTCCGTCACAGGCCACTGTCTGAGTGGGCCTGGGCGCAGACACTTTGGCCCAATCGGAAGCTACTTGAAACACATGAGGCCCAGCCAGACAGCAAGTGGGGAGATAACTTTTTTCATAAAGGAAAGAGCTCGCCACTGGTGGGCTCATTGGGGCACTGGCTTGTGAAAGCGGCAGTGCTGCTGGAGCGTGTGCTCGTGGGCTGCTTGCTGTGCGCTAGCAGATGCCGGGCGCGCGCGGGCGTCAAGGAAGAAGACAGGGCGCTGCTGAGGGCAGCACCATAGCCAGGGCTTGGCTTGGATAGCCAGTGGAGGTGGTGGTGGTCTTCGTGTATGGGGAGGAAGATGTGAGGGCACGTACGTGGCCTTGGCGATGGTCTACAAGGTCGACATCTTCATGTACTTCTGTTGTTGCTGCTGACGTCAACAGGATGCATTGTTAATTGCTAGGCTGCAAGTAGCTGTGTGATCGTAGTCTGGGCGCTGAGCGCCAAGTAGGAGGCGGCACTCTGGATACATATGTTGGTGGTGGCGAGATTATGCTGTCATTGACATTCGGATTCAGTGCTTTGGTTCTCCGTTGGTGGAATATCAGTGCATTTCTGCTTTCTGCACAGTGTTGGACTTGCTGGCTTTCATTGTGATTTTGCACTCTGGATTTCTACCATTTTGCTATCGTTCATTTTCCTTGCAATTTGGTATCGGAGCTGGTTCGAACCTCTCTGCTGGCTCCTTCAGGATAGCTGTTTGGTGCTTCGCTGGATAAAGATGGGGCAGTGATAACGCTTGTGCGTTGGTTTATAGGCGGCCCTGAGTCCAGAGGGCGCGCATGGAAGGCATGTGGTGACATAGGGGGTCACGCTGGATGATCAGAGCTTGTTGACATGACATTTAAGCCGAGATGGAACTGCATTGTACTGTGGGTTGTGTCGAGGCCTGGACCGGTCATCATAAATGCACGACAGGTTACTGGTAAACTTCCAACTCTAAGGCGTTTCCAGCATATAGCGAAGTGATTGAACTCTCATGTTGCCATGAGAGGGACCCATCTTGAGCCCACACAATAAATCCAAGAACTCCAATACTTATCATAGATAGGGGTCGGGAGTTGTGTTTTCCCGCCCTCCGAACCGCACGTGATAGTTTCCCATCATACGGCTCTCCGCCACGAATCATCGTTCGATAATGTTCTCGATAAACTAGTAGGTTTATATAGGACCACGCCCGTCTCAGCACATTGAAACTGTGGACCAAGAAATCTGTAGTTGGGGGCAGCGTTATGAGGTACATTGCTCCTTACCTTATCTACCCTCTTCGTTGCTTCTTACCGTGAGCGAGTCTTGCCTTGAGAGTCCTCTCATTGTGAGGTGTTGTGAGCGCTTAACCTTGAGAGTCGACACTCTTCTTGGGGAGCAAGCTGGTGGGAGCGGGTGTTGCCTCTGAAGGGCCCTGGACGAAGCACTCGGGTCATGGTCACCTTTCCAACCTGCTGGGACTAGTACACGCATGCTTGGCCGCTTGTCCTTTGGTCTGCTTGCTCCACTGTAGAGGTCATGTTGGCCAGGCCAGCCCTATGAGGGAGGGACGAGTACTGGACCGTCCATGAAGAGACTCCGGCGGGGATATACGACTCGTGCTGTACACAAGTAGAAAAATAGTATGGACGGGGCTGGGCGGTCTTGTACTGACTTGGGGCACATGGGTGGGCCGATTGCACACCTTTAGACACGCCGTTGAACCAGAGCTACAGGATGCCGACGCAAAGTGACCACTAGGGGGAGGGAAGATTCCAGTAAATGCTCGATTGTTCAATATTGTAATGTTTCCATTCAGAATGGATTTCAGCAAATGATTTTATTTTTATTTGTGATTACTTAGCTGTGACGGACTGCTAACAGCTAACAGACTGTTGCAGATGGAGTAGTTGTTTATTCTTGCTGCAAGCATCTGTTTCAGACTAGTCAAAAGTTGCAGGGGTCTGGAACTATCTGCTGTTACCGCTCGACTGCTTCCTGATAAATCTGGACCGTATATTTAATTTTATTTGTTAAGTGGTTGGGTGCCATGCTGCGGTAGGTCCCAGCAAGGACACTAGTTCAGATTGCATGCCACATGTATCTCTGGGGCGAAAATGACAGTGAGGTTGATACACACAGACTAAGATGAGGGGAGGATTGCCCTTGGACAGGCACTTTGTCGGCCGACCACTTGGTTGGTGTTAAAGACCAGGCGATGAAAGGAGACAGCGGAGAGCAGCTGAGGAGACTAGGGTCTAGCAGAAGTACAGGTGGCAGCAGCCAACGCAGTGATGGCACTAGCAGCTGTAGCAGCAGCTCACGTCAGAGCCAAGGCCGAGGCAGCGAAGGCTACTGTTTCTGCAATGTCCCAGGTCTCTTCCCAGGCCTCTTCGATAGGTGTTAATCATGGTATATCGAGGCCTTTCACTAGTCAGTCTGTTGGCGTGCAGGACCGCAACCCTTGTCAACGGAGGACGTTGAGATTAGAGAAACAAATGCCCTTCAAACAGAGTTACAGCGTCAAATAGGGGAGGTAGAGGATAGATGAGATAGAGCTAGAAAAAGAAGCCTAGAGTAGAGGCGAGGAAGCAGAACGAAACAGAGTAGAAGTTGTGAATGTGGAAGCACCTAATATGCAGGGACTTTGGGCCAGTCGGTGCGACCGAAGTACAGGCCGTTTAGTAGGGAATGCTGGCCACATTGACAGCCGGTTAGAATTAGATTTTGGCTGCGCAGAGAGGCCCCAGGCCTATGGTGAGGCCTGCGCAACCCGTTGTAGTTCCTCCAGTGGTGGCCGGTGTGTTTGTGTCAGTGCTGCCTATGAGAGGTCTCTTTGTACCTCAGTACGACATATTTCTAGTTGGCGGTTCATCAGTAGGTAGTGTGGCTTCATCTGTCCCCATATCAGCTGCTGCAACTACAGTTGTGCACCCGGGCCAGCGGCTTGTGCAGCAGGTTCGGCAACCTGTTCCTCCGGTTCAGTCCCCGGTGCAGCAAGCACAAGTAGTTGGTCCACAGCCGTGAGACGTGCGTCTAGAGAAGGGAGAAAACGTTGCTGCAGCAAGGTAGTTGGATGGGTAGGCACAGGGCGATGGATACAACCGCGGTCTTGACTCTTGGGCTAGAGCCAAATGTCTTGATCAGTTCCTGTTGTCAGGGGAAGAGATGTGGCAGGAACACCGTAAGGCACAACTTGCTGCTCATAGGTTCACAAACATTGAGGGGGAACTAGTTGTGCTCCCGGGTCGTTGTGCTCCCAGGTCGTTGTGCGATAACCCTGTTCGCTTCACTACTCGCATCAACAGGCTACAGACGATTCTTCTTCTTCTAAATAGGTAAGGCTTGGACCACGAGACCGAGCTCAATAACACGAGCGAGGGCTTGGATGATAGGAGGAAGACGAAGCCACCTCGGGATCGGCAGAAGGTCGATCTGGGGTTATAGACAAAGTGTGTAGGCGGCCAAAAACTTGAGGGAGGAGTGCTGGCCGTGTTCAGTTAGGCTGAGGCGACTGGCATGCGGTAAGGCAATCAGTCTAGGAGTTAGGGAAGATCCTGCTTTGTCCATGTGGACAAGAGAGAGTCTTGGATGTGCGGATAAACCGGCTTGTAAGGGGCATCAGCAAAATGTATGGCATGAATGGTCGAACGAAGGCGAGGGGTCCAGTCCAGTTGGTCACCACGGGGATGCAGCCCGAAGAGGGGTGAGGCACCCTCAACCCAGGAAAGCACTGTGAGCACTTCCTTGGGAAGCGCATCCAGCCTGTAGAAGTAGTAGCCTCTTTTTCTCTTGTCGAGGTGCTGAAATCCCTTACCATCTTACTGACTCCTTAGTCACCCGACAGGCATTTCCGGGCCACATGAAGCTCTGTTCATAGGGGGTGTCTGAGGCCTTAGAGGAGCTAGAGAGGAAGGAGTTTGAATAAGACCTGCTTGCTGCATGGGTGACCAAGTTAGAGGTTCCAAGAATCTGGTAAATGTCAAAGTAGTCGTGTGGCTCTCGCAGACGTCGGCACTCCCTAAGACGAGAACAGTCATTCCAGTTGATGTAGCTCAGTGGTTAGAGCACCGGTTGGAAATGCGCATTGTGGTATGAGGTTGCGGGTTCAAATCTGCAGCCTCACGCATGGACACTGGCAGGGCATTAGAATGACGCACGGCTGGACACACACCCCTTGGGTTGACGCATGGTAAGCTATTACAGACACTGCCTACGCACCACCCAGGGGACTGTCCATGGTGTTGTATGTTGGGTCCTGGCCTATGACGGGTTTGCCTGATACAGTTAGCAGTCTAATGAGGATGCAGGTAGGGGTTTGTGGTTAGACTGCTCATGTGTGTTGGTTACCTTAGGCTTTGCTTTGGAGGGGGCAAGGACCTGAGGTGGGATGGGGTCCCGATTGGGGGGAGGGTTGGCTTGGGACAAGCTTTGCTGGAGGATATCGGTGGGGAACCTACAGTAGGGGATTGTCTTAAGGGATCCCGGTAGGAGGGGTGTTAGTAGACAGACTCTGGTGGAGGAAATCGTTGGGGAACCTGCAGTAGGGGTTGTCTGAGGGGGATCCTCCAAGATAGGGTGGTCTGGGTCCCATAAATTAGTTGCTGGTTGTAGATAGGCACCTGTCGTGGGTCCAGAGACCGACCTCTACAACACCTTGGACTTTTTAAACCACCAGTACCTCTGCCAGTGTTGGGAAATTACATTACGATGTCTTGGCCAGTACCCGAACTTTTGGGGGGTGGGACACAAGGTTGGCAATGTCCCATAAATCTGACTTTTATAGTGCCGCGAGTGAACGGAAAAAGGGAAAAAGAAAATGCTTTCTCGAGTGCAATGATGTCGGGCAGGGTAGTCCAGGAGGCCGTGCTCACAATCTTCCTCCACAGAATGCACCTTACAGGTAAGGCGGTCACATTCTGAATGTTACTGTTTTCTTTGTTTTCTTGGTCGTGTGTTTCTTATGAGTCCCCTGTCCGTGAATTACTCAAGCTGTTCGTGATCTGCTCAAGCTGTGTTTTGTCAGAGGATTGTAAGGCTCATCACACTGGCACTTAGGGGAATGTATCCAGCCATTTTCACGGCCGGATCCATGTGCCCCTTTTCCCCCCCTTTTATTCCCTTTTTGGAATCTGACAACCTGGCCATGGGGCTGAGATGCCCTCATTGAGGGCACATTCACACTACCACTTCCAAGAATGTATACAAATGCAATCACAGCCAAAGCTTTGTTTCCTTTTTTTTTTTTTCTTCTTTTTTGAGGTTCACGACCGCAACTTTTCTTCTTTTGTTTTTTGTTTTGTTTTTTTGTTCTTTCCGTGAGAGTACCAGAAAGAAAACGGAGTGGTACCCAGGCTTGGAAAACTCGGAGCGCATTGAAATTTAGGGTCGGCAAAAACAGGCTCGGAGGTACTGGTGGTTTAAGGGGGGGGGGGGGGAAAAAGACGAGAATTGTCGCGTTTGTGTGATAAGATTGCACATTGGGACCTCCTTTGCGGCTCCCCTGGCGGGCACAGCGGCTAAGGCGATCTGCAATATCCAACTTAGCCAATACGAAAAGCATTTGTGTCTTGGGCCTACATAACAGAGGTAGTCAGTGCTTCCTCCTATGGGGGAAGGCAATTGAAGGCAATAGTCTAGCTGTTGGCTGGCGACAAACTTCCTATCATCTACCACTTCGAGGTTGCAATGTTCCTAATTGGGCGGGGGCAATCACAGTGGGACATAGTCCTTAAAACTTGGAGGGGTAGGCCCTCCAAACCTCTTTAGAATAAGAAAACAAATGTTATCAAGTGTCCAAACCTTCTTAGGAGCTGTCAGGAGTTGTAAGTAATGAGGCTGCCCAAGAGATAGGGATCATTCCTTCTATTGTGGGATAGACCTATAGGATACCGCCTATGATTATGGACAATGACCGACAAAGCTAGGGAAGAAGGGATGGATAGGGCCACGTGCGTCTTCCTATAAAACTTCCAACTCCATTAATTGATAAGAGAAAGAAGAGGTGTAGAGCGCATCGGCTCCCGCCTTTTTCCACAAAAGGCGAGAGCCTTCCTGACCAGTCACGCAAAAGTCAAACAAAACAAAAACAAGAGACAACTTGGGAACAATGCAAAATAACCCCACGAACTGCCGAGATGGGCATGGTCGCGTCGTCCCTTCGCCACTCTAGCTGGGTGCGCCAGCCATACTTCCCGGAGTCCCCTACGACCGGATAGGTTTCCGCGGGGCACAACTTACCTTCCTTAAGGGGACGTCACCACTCTTAGGGGCGTATCCCTACCGAGCTACTGATCCACGCGCAAAAGCTTTCATATGCAGTCGCAGAGGTAGATTAGCCGAGGACGTTTGCTGCATTCGTTGCAGTATAGGAAACGCTTGGTTAAATGCCAAGTGGACTCGAACGTCGTTCGTTCCTTAGGACGCTGATCTCCTAAGTACGAAGTGGACGCCGGTCGACTAGGACGGTCTCAACCAACTGTGAAACCCGCAAAATAATCTTAGCCCCTTAGACGTATAACTCGAAAAGAAAGTTACTGCAAGGAATATGAGTGTGAGCGATATACACAAAACCAAGTTGCGAAATCACACAGTTGTCCCAGTAGTCGTGTCCCAAGCAGAGAGTACAAATGCACCGAGAAAACCATCCATATAGAGCAATACAATGAAGTAATGAGCCAATGTTCATGCCCGTAGGCCACACCAACACAGTATCCAAAGTCGTTCTGCTCTGTTTGGCGCTCAACGCCCAACCTACTCTACTAGACTATCCTACCTACAGCTGGTTTACGCAACAGGATCACTTCGACTCACGAAGACCAATGTACATGACTGCCAACACCATCGCCGACGTCTCTTCATGTACCGGGTATGTATCTCGTCACCCTCAATCAGACCTTGACTACCCCACAGAGCGCCTCCTTCCCTGAAGACCACCTGATCATCCGATGTACCCCCTGGCGCCCAGCAGCCCGACTATGGCTGCCTGCGCCCCGCTGCCCTGCAGCGCCCCACTTCACCTCTCGCGCCCCGTCAGCGCCCTTGGCAGCAGCGCAGCATCAAGCAAGAGCGCGGTGCTGGCCAGAATGCCTGGCCTGGGCTGCCTCATTCCTTTTGTGGAAGTGGCAGCCTCTTGGATGCTGTGTGTGGCCTGGCTGGAAGCTTCCAGTAGCTTCCGGTTGGGTCCCAGACCCTGCGCCCAGGCCCGAGACTACAGTTGAGGGCCTGGGCTCTTTGTAGTTAGGCACGGCCTGAGTTTCCGGACTTGGGCTGTTTGCTGCATCTGTGCAGGGCTCCCCGGCAGGTGCGTTGGCACTACTTCTTTTGTAAAGGCCGAAGCCCTGCTTCCCAAGGTATCGGCCCAGCTTTGTGTATGTGTGCCCAGGCGCAACTGTCAGGGCCTGGGCTGACTGTATGACGCAGCAATGTGAGGCTCACGCGTCTTCCCAACCAACTGGCGTGCTGCGAGAGCCTGAATACCCACATATGGAAATGTTGCCTTTGACGAATATTC